TTGCTTAAAAGAGGAACCTGGTGATTTGATTTCTCTCACTTTCCCTCTGGTTGGCTGTCCTTTGATGGTTTCTTCCGGATGATTCACTTCCAGGACAAGACACACAACACCTGCCTGAAAACCATTCCAGGACTTTCTGCCCCAGAAACACAACTGGGGATGCTGGAGGTTCTGAAATAAATGAATTGCTTCACTTTATGGCTTTGGTCGCTTAGTTGCACTTTCTTCTTCTTTTTTTTTTTTTTTGAGACAGAGTCTCAAGCTGTCGCCCTGGGTAGAGTGCCATGGTGTCACAGCTCCCAGAAACCTCCAACTCATGGGCTTAAGCGATTCTCTTGCCTCAGCCTCTCAAGTAGCTGGGACTACAGGCGCTTGCCACAATGCCTGGCTATTTTTTGGTTGTAATTGTCATTGTTGTTTGGTGGCCCGGGCTGGATTAGAACCTGCCAGCTCCGGTGTATGTGGCTGGCGCTTTAGCCGCTTGAGCTACGGGCGCTGAGCCTTAGTTTCACTTTCTATCTAGCTTCTCCCGTCATATCCCCTCCAAATTTAAAAATCCTTCAATGGCTTCCTAGTATACTTGGACGCTCCCAGGCCCTGTGAAGCCCAGCCCCTGCCTGCCTCTCCTACCTCCTCCCATGTGCTCTCTCTGCTTCCATCACACTGGGTTCCTTTCTGTTCCTCAAAGATGACAAGCTCTTTCCTACCCTGGGACTTTTGTACTTGCCATTTCCTCTGTCTGGAATACTTTCCTCTGTCTTCCCCACAGCTGACTTCCTCATCCTTCGGGTTGTGGTGTCTCAGCGAGGCCTTTTCTGACCACTCTGTGCAAAGAGGCTGTCTCTGGCCTCTGCTTGTTACTCTTCACCATGCCCTGCTTCTTCCCTCCTTGGGGTTTACGACATCCTGAGACTACTCTGTTACTTTTTTGTTTGTTTATTGTCTGCTCCTCTTCCCTGATTCCAGCCAAATGATGCGCCACAAGGGCAAGGTCTTCATCTGTTTGGGCTGCTATAACAAAAAATCATAGAGTGGGTAGCTCATAAACCACAGAAAGCTATTTCTCCCATTTCTAGAGGTTGAGAAGTCCAAGATCCATGTGCCAGCAGACACCACGTGTCTGGTGAGGGCCAGTTTCTTGATTCATATATGGTGTCTTCTCGCTGTGTCCTTACATGGTAGAAGGAACACACAAGCTCCCTCAGGTCTTTTTTGAGACAGAGCCTCAAGCTGTCCCCCTGGGTAGAGTGCTGTGGCATCACGCTCACAGCAATCTCCAACTCCTGGGCTCAAGCGAGTCTCCTGCCTCAGCCTCCCAAGTAGCTGGGACCACAGGCGCCCACCACAACGCCTGGCTATTTTTTGGTTGCAGCCATCATTGTTTTTTGGCGGGCCTGGGCTGGATTCAACCTGCCACCTTAGGTGTATGTGGCTGGCACCTTAGCCACTTGAGCCACAGGCGCCGAGCCTCCTTCAGGTCTTATTTAGAAAGGGCACTAATCCCATTCATGAGCACTCTGCTCTTATAAACTGATCTCCTCCTAGAGGTCTCCTGTCTTAATATCATCATCCTAGGGTTTGGATTTTAACATATGAATCTTGTGGAGACACACACATTCAGACCATAGCAGTGATCTGTTCTGTTTTGTTCACCGTTGTGTCCTCAGCACCTAGTTCCTCCTGGGATCCAAGTCCCTGCTCTCATGGAGCTTATTTTCTAGTGGAGGAGACAGACAAAAACCATTTAGACAAATGAATGATACAATTTCAAGCATTGATAAGTGGTATACTAAGTAAAGCAGTGTAAAGAGATAAAGTATGGCTCAGAGAATGGGGCGATAGGTGGGTAGACAGTAACTGGGAATGGCCTCTCCAGAATAGTGTCATTAGCACAGAGAACAGATCGCCCCGGTGGAGCAGGCCTTTGAAGATACAGGTGTAAGGGCTGTGAGGCAGCAGCCAGCATGGCAGATTGAGGGATAGAAAGGAAACTGGTGTTGTTAGAGTGGGGGTAAACCAGGGGAAAGAAGGGCAGGAAATGAGGCTAGAGAGAGACAGAGAGAGAGAGGAGGGTGGGGCAGGTCAGGTAAAGGCTTTGGGTTTTCTTTTCAGTGTGGTCGGACACCTTTGAATAGAATATTCAGTTACTGATGTACTCATACCATCTCATTTGATCCTTACAAAAACTTATGATGTAGGTAGGACTGATAATAGTGTTAGCCACATTTTACCAAGAAAGAAACTAAAGTTCTGCTACATTAGAAAACTTGTTGTAAGTCACACAGTTTGAACAAGATTTTTTGACTCTAAATCAGCGTTTTTTATGTTCGTTGTGCACTGAAATCCTCCCAGGAGCTCTATAGACTGTCTATGCCTGAGTCCCATTACCAGAAATAGATTTAAGAGATTTGGGTGTGGCCCAGGAGTATTGTTAAAGCTCTTCAGGTGATTCCAATGTGGCCACCTGTTCCAGTCTCCCTCCTTAACAGAACCATTCCACTAAGGTGTCCATTCAAATCACCTGGGGGAACTTTTAAGCCTTACTGGGTTCCAGACCCTACCCTAGTCTCCCAAATCAGAATCTCTGCAGCTGGGGCTTATGTATAGGTTTGTTCTAAAAGCATCTTGTTTTCCTATTTTGGAGCTTTCCATCTTTATTTTTTGATTTCCATATCTCCTGTTATATCCTTACTTGTTCTTCTTGGGTTTTATGTCTTTTTTATTCCTTTCCTGCCATTTTCATAAGATTTCAGGAAGGAGCAGATTTAAATGAGTGTATTCAATCTATCATGTTTAACTGAAAGTCTGCTAAATTAAAATTTTTTAAAAAATTTAAATACTTGACTTTAGTACAAAAGTTTGCACATTCATCGTACAAAATTCAAGTACAGTATTACAAAAGGGCATAGAGTATAAACTGAAAGTGCTCTCACTTCCCCCATTCTCACTTCTAAGGTTTAAATGATAATAATAACTTCGTCTTTAAACTTAAAAGTTCAGTGATAACTGAACAGTGATTACTGTTTGTAATAAGTTTATTCTCTTCTCTCTCTCTCTCTCTCTCTGTGTTTTAGATTATCAACTTTTATTTAAATATCCTGGTATCTTTTATTGTACTCACTCCACATTTATGCTTTTATTTACATGACTTTTTGCGCACCTGCACTGCTTCCCGACATCCTTCTCTTGGGAGCTCCCCTTCAACCTTTACTTCCAAGCCTTCAAGTCAATTCTTAGTCTCCAGAGCATTTCAGAATGTACTGAGCACAATTAATGCTCCCTTCTTTGTGTTCCTACACCACTTTGTTCACACCTCTATTTTAATACTTCTCACACCATTTGGAAGTTATTAATATTCTTATCTCACTGCTTATAAATTGCAAACTTGAGATGGTGGCGGCTGTATTATTCAATTCTATACTGCTGCTATACCCTGTTGCTCTATTTTTAGCTCCCAGTTTGTGGCTTGTCTTTTCTTTTTATAATGCCTTTAGATAAAGAGAAGGTTTTTTTTTTTTTTTAGAGAGTCTCACTTTGTCGCCCTCGGTAGAGTGCTGTGACGTCACAGCTCACAGCAACCTCCAGCTCTTGGGCTTAAGCGATTCTCTTGCCTCAGCCTCCTGAGTAGCTGGGACTACAGGCACCTGCCACAACGCCCGGGTACTTTTTGTTGCAGTTTGGCCTGGGCTAGGTTTGAACCCACCGCGCCCTACTCACTGAGCCACAGGCGCCACCCTAAAGAGAAAGATTTAAATTTCATGTAGGCAAAGTAGAGTGAAGCTTTCTTTATAGCTTGTGCTTATGGCTCTTAATAAACCCTATCCTGAGATCTGAGAGCATAAGGATATTTCCCTTTATTTTCTTCTAAAAGTCCTAAATTTAAGACTTTAATTTCCCTTTTAAAGTCTTTAATCCACCTGGAATTAGTTTTACAGGATCCAACAGATAATTGATTGTTCCAGCCCATATTCTGAATAGTCTATCTTTCCCCTATTGCTTTTTTAATTCCAGCCCTGTCATACTTCCGGATTTCGTAGGTGCCTGGATCTGTTTCTGGGCCCTCCAGGTGATTCCATCCCCGCCGCCGCCTATTCCTCTATAATAAATATCACAGGGTATTAATTTTTACAGCTTTATAATACGTGTTGATATATGTAAAAGCCAGTCCTTGGAACACATTCTCCTTCAAAGTGTTTTGGCTGTACTTTGCCCTTTGTTTTTCATATACATTTTAGATTAGTTCGTAAAGGTCCAGAAAAAAAAATCCTGTTGGAAATTTGGCTAAAATTCCATTGAATCGATAGACGAATTCTAGCCCCTCCCCCCCAACACTGTTCCCTCCCTCACGAAGGGAAAAGGTCAAGAGACGTTTATGGAATGAATGGATGTCTGATAAATGTCTCCAATGTACATCTTATAAGTCGGCATAGGATAAGTAGAGGTCAATAAATGAATGAATGGTGGCCAGTGATAACTCAGATTACCAAGTACATTCTTACCGTTCGCCTACTTGTTCTAATAGCTTATTTAAAATCTACAAGTCCACAACCCATCCTTCTCTAAACGCGAATCTATGAGCTATCTGGAGTGAGTCCTGAAGAGTTGTCAGTAAGAGTCCGCTACTGCTGCCTAGGCAAAGTCAGAGTCCAGCGGACAGCGCCTGGGATTTCGCCCTGCCGGCGCTAACCCGGCTGTGGGTCTCTGGCCAGTGCGCGAGGGGCCGCGGACTACAAGTCCCGGCAGGCCATGCGCGGCCGCGCCGAGAGCGATCAGGTGTCGGTGCAGCGCTGTGCGGCCTGCAGATTCCCACGGCGGGGCTGCTGCTGGGGACCCGGCGCGGCGGCTCCGCTTGCCTCTGGGTGAGTAGGAGCACCTCGCTGGTGGCTGGCGCGGAGCCCAGACTGACCCGGCCGCGGGGCGCGAGGGGGCCAGCGTGGACACATCGGGAGCCGGCCTTTGCACCGGCTCTGCAGCCGCCCGGGGACCCAGGGAACCCTTGTCCCGAGACCTTGTCACCCCGGCCTGGCGCGCGGCCACGTGGCTCAGGTGACTAGTAGTGCTCCGCCCCCTCTTGGATCTCCCCTACTTGCGTTGTCTCTTTAGCTTGGTGCACCGGTGGGATTTAGTGAGGACTGTCTACTTGGGTGGCACAGTCTTGCGTGCACACGAGTAGGTGGACCTGGAGGCGAACCTCAGGTGGCTCACCCAGACGCTGTTACCCTCAGGTGGCCTTACACTGCTCAGAGGCACAGGCGTCTGGGGCTGGTCTGAGCCAGAGTAGGGGGCGACGCAGGTATCTCAGCCATCCACTTGTGGTTTGCACGACGTGCCCCTGGTCTCTGCTTACCTCCAGCATCTTGCAGGGCCCAGCGCTTCCGAATTGCACAATAAATGTGTGCCAACGACCGTGGGCATTTGGAGAGAAGCCTTTAGGAAAGACGCCTAGTACGGCGCACTCCCAGGATTAAGTAGCATTTACTTTTCTTTCTACTATCTAGGAAGTCATTCAACAGATATTTATTGATTACCTCCGTGGTGCTTGGCACTTAATGGATGCTCGAGAGATAATTGCAACCTCGAAGTAAATTAGACTTTGTGCTTTCACAATTTTTTCTATAACAGTTTTCTTGTTGTAGTGGTTTTCAAACTTAATCATGCATGCTCATCACCTGGCATTCTTGTTTCAACACAGAAGGCTGGATGCCCATCTCCGAAGATTTTGATTCAATAGGTCTGGTATGGGGACCACGAATACATTTCTAACATGTGCCTGGGGATGCAAATGCTCTTGGTCTGGGGATTATACTTTTGATTACCCCCTTTTTATAGGAGAAAAATCCTCTGAACTTAAAGCACCAACTCTTCACTCCTGGTTGTGAGTCTGTCTGTCCTTATTTGCCAGTTTTACTTTTGTAGTTAAATGTGACCACGTACTTATTACCTTGTGCACCAGTTCCCCTGTATTTATATATACGTTTTCATGTAGTTTACACTCATCACTTTTCCTGGTTATATTTTATCTTATTGCCTTGTTATTTAGTTGGCCATTTCTCAACTGGCCTTAGGGATTTGAAATTTGATCTCTGCTACTAAAGTTTGCATTTTGTTCCTTTCTGATATACACTCTTACCCTTGTCAGACAAGGGACCTGTAAGATAAGAATAATGCTTGGTTCAGCCACCCATTTCTCCACCAGGGCAGTTCACTGAATAGACTCTTTGGGTTTAGATTTCCATGTCCTGGGGATTCCAGTGGCCTGCTTCAGGGTCCTGCTTGTTCTTGTGCACTCTTTGCTGTGTTGGATGGAGCTGTCATTGGATTCAAGTTCTGGGTCCATCACTAACTAGTTTCTTGGTTGAGTTTCTTACCTTTTTAAAAACTTTACTTCCTTATCTGTAGAATGAGCCTCTAATAGCATGCACCTCAGAATCTGGTTGTGCAACTTTGCTTCTTATTGGTGTCAGGGACCAGGTGTCTTTGATTTCTTTGATTACTCCCTTCAAGGGTATTTTTGCGTCTTTTCCAGCTTTGCAGGCTGACCAGAAGAAATAATTTTCATTTGTCTAATACAGTGGTTCTCAACCTGTAGGTCACGACAGGTTGAGACTGTATTAAAGATTCATGGCAATAGGGAGGTTGAGAACCACTGGTCTAACAGTATCTCTAGGAAATAGGAGGAGGCTGCGGTCACTTTATGGGATTATTGGAATTAAAGCCCTAAGAGCCTTTTCTTTATGGTAATTCTCTTTGTGCTCCATGCAGAGAGAGGGGACTTCAGGCCTGTAGTCCCAGAATGTGGCATGGGTAGAGGGCTGCAGATGAATGGTAGCCACTTATTGACCCCATGAACAGTAAGTGCTTGATTTCCTATTTAGTTCTGTCTAGGGGATGGACATTTAACGTGTCCATCAACTTCCCATTTGTAGAACTTCCCATACTCTCCTGTTGCCTGGTTTCATGACCCACTGGGGTGTTTCCTGTGGTCCAGCGAGATGAATTCTATTCTTATCATTGATTTGACAGTAAAAAAGCTCTGTCAGCTTTGCTGCTCGCCTAAAGGTTTTATAGACTGAAATGGTTTGTTTCTAGTGAGGAGCATTGGTTGATCTTATGATTTGGTGTTGATCTCCAGGGCTTTAAGCATGCCTGGCACTGTTTGGGTATGGTAGAGGGTCAGAAATTATAGTCCCACCCATAGCAACTGGTGCATTTACTTGAGAACAGTAGTAAGAACCTTAATGAACAGGGGTTCTGGTGTCCCTTTCAAAGAGGTCATATGCCTTAAAGAGAAGCTCTGAACTCTTGGAGTGGGAAGGCTCAGTTCAAGGTCTTATGCTGCCATTTTACTAGCTGAGCCATCTGGGGCAAATCACTCACCCTCTCTGGTCCTTGATTTCCTCATTTATATGTGGGGATAATATTTGTCTCACCTGACTGGGCTGTGTGGACTATCTAATTAGATGAGTGTAAGGTGCTCTGTGGAGGTTAGTCATTGCTAATATTATTATTTAGTGATTAGGTTTTAGGTTCTTGGGGGCCTTAGACCCCCTGCAAGGTTTGTGTGCTGTTATGAGAAGTAAATCAGGTGAAAGTCAAAAAGGCAAGTAAACCGAACAGGGCAGGTGATTCATTAGCAAAGGGTTTAATAATGAAAGGTGTTTTTCAATGACAGACATATTTCATGCCTGACAGGGTCTTTTAAAATACCCTGCGGAAAGCAACTCATTTGCATGTTAAAAACTCACTGACACCTCATAGAAAACTCTAGTTCCAGTGTATTTAGACTCAGTTTGGCTCCTATATAATCTATTTTATGTATTTCAATTTCCACCTATTTTATTACCAAGGAGATTTAGAGAGTTATGTCTGCTGTGCTTCCCTTTCCCCACCTAGAGGTGGTTTCAAAGGTGGCGGAGGCCCCACTACATACAGAGGGCAGCTGTGGAGATTGGTGTAACAGGAGTTCAGTTGAGGCAAGGCCTGGGAGCTGGTGTTGGGGGTAATAAGGGAGGATGACTACTGAATTGTCATGGCAGGGCAAGTGTTTTCACCTGTTGGGCCTGACAGGGTGCAATTTATCCATTCATTGATTTATTCATTCAGTAAATGTTTTTGGAGCACCTACTGTATGGTAGGCCAGAATTTTGCAAACAACAACTTGAGGGCCAACTCTGGCCACACCTGTTTCTTTGGGTATCTTCTCAGGTTATCTTGTGCTGCAATCCTGGGTGGAGTAGTTGTGTCAGACAAGTTCTAGCATACAAACTACAAATTATTATGGCTCTTTTTTTTTTTTTTTTGAGACAGAGTCTCACTTTGTTGCCCTCAGTAGAGTGCCTTGGCATCACAGCTCACTAACAACCTAAACAGCAACCTAAACTCTTGGGCTTAAGCGATTCTCTTGCCTCAGCCTCCTGAGTAGCTGGGACTATAGGCACCTGCCATACCACTGGGCTACTTTTAGAGATGAGGTCTCACTCTGGTCTTGAACTCTTGAGCTCAGGCAGTTCACCCTCCTCAGCCTCCCAGAATGCTAAGATTATAGGTGTGAGCCACCGCACCTGGCCTCTATATGGTTCTTTATAGAAAAAATTTGTGGGCCAGGCTTGGTGGCTCATGCCTGTAATACCAGCACTTTGGGAGGCTGAGGTGGGAGATTGCTTGAGCCCAATAATTTGAAACCATCTGATAGGCCCCAGCTCTACCAAAACAAGAAAAAGCTAGCCAAATGCAATGGTGCATCCCTGTAGTCCCAGCTACTTGGGAGGCTGAAGTGGGAGGATCACTTGAGTTCAAGTTTGCAGTAAGCTATGATCAGGCCATTGCTCTTCAGCCTAGGTGATAGAGTAAGACCTTATCTTGGGAAAAAAAGAGAAAAAGTCAAAAAGAAAACAAAGAGATCTTTGTTCTAGGCAGAGAGAACTGCAAGAGCAAAAGCTCTGAGACCAGAATGGGTCTAGTGCAGTGGTTCTCAAACTGTGGCTTGCGACCCTCAGGAACTGTATTAAAGGGTCATGGCATTAGGAAGGTTGAGAACCACTGGTCTAGTTTGTTTGATGATTAACAAAGAGGCCAGTGCAGTTGGAATGGGATGAGTAAGGGGGAAAATGGCAGGGCATGAGACCCTACAGGAAATTGGGGTCCAATCATGTAAGGCCTTGTAGGCTGTGCCAAAGGTTTGGCTCTTTGTCTGCATGAGGTGGTAGCCATTGGAGAACTTAGAGCAGAGGAGTGCTTAATCTGACTTTAGTTTCCATGTTCACTGGGGAAAAACTTACTCATTCAATCATTTATTAGCAATTGTCTCATTTTATTTACCTCTCATTTGATCTTGAGCTCCTCTTAGGAGAGTGGCCATAAACTCTAGCCCTGCCTGGACAGAAATCCAAGGGATTTGGTCATGGATGTTTACACTATGCCTTTCATGACATATTTCTTTATCCTAGTGGATGACCTAATGCCTAAATGTCCGACTCATGATCTGGTACCCTTCTCACAGGAAACTTGTTTACATTGGTGGACATCCTGTGGCTCTTGTCTGCCCTGTGTCCAGCTTATTCCTAAGAGAGGCCTCGTTAGAATGGGAGTTAGGGCTGGGAGTGTGGATCAGGTGAGACACAGAGGAGGCAGTGCAGCAAAACAGGTGACTAACAGAAGCCTTTTATTACTCACAGATCTCCAGGAGAGGAGGTGTCCATGAGGGCCAGTGGTAGTCTGGAGACAGCAGAGTGTGTGTGTGTGGGGGAGAGAGAGAGAGAGGAGATCTGTGGACTCATCAAAATTAAGAAGAAAATGGTCTATAAGTGACACAGCTGAGATTTGAATCCCCATTTGACTAACTATGAAACCTTTAATGCTACTCTTGACTTTTTTTCTTCTGCAGGGTCTGGGGACATGGCCAGAAAGGCTCTCAAGCTTGCTTCATGGACCAGCATGGCTCTTGCTGCTTCTGGCTTCTACCTTTACAATAACAAGTACTTGGACCCTAATGACTTTGGCGCTGTCAGGGTGGGCAGAGCAGTTGCTACGGTAGGTTTTTCTTATTTCGTGGGTAGCAGAGAAACTGCAGTACTACTTGCACATGTTCAGATGTGTAGCACATGAACATGCTTTTCATACATGTGTGGGGATATGCATGTACCTTTGCATGTGCCAGAGCTCCCTCTACACCAGCGATTCTCAACCTGTGGGTCGTGACCCACAGGAACTGTATTAAAGGGCTGTGGCATTAGGAAGGTTGAAAACCACTGCTCTACATGGTTGCACAGGCGGATGTATACAGCCTCGGTCATCTCAGAGTTAAATAGAATGGAATTGTGTAGGGTCTCTGTTCTGAGGCCTTTACATTTTAGGTTCTGTATCTTTTTTTTTTTTAATTATTATTATTTGGGATTCATTGAGGGTACAAAGAATTAGGTTGCACCGATTGTATTTGTTAGGTAAATATCCTCTTATAATTGTGTAGGTTCTGTATCTTATTTCAGTGACAGACTTAGAGGAGCAGTGTTCCTTCTAAGTGTTCTTTCTCTAATTCAGCATTTCTAAAGCAAAAGCACAAGGAAGGAAGACTTTACAGCTTTGAGGAGATTCTACTAGAAAACTTGATCTCTCTTCAGAGAGCTAGCATAAATTGTTCTGAAGTAGGACTGATACCCAGAGTATCTAGGCCTCAGAGAATTTTGGGAATTCCTTTGAGCCCCAGAGTGACAGAGAATCTGAGTTGAATATTTGACAGTGAGGCTCGGCGCCTGTGGCTCAAGTGGCTAAGGCGCCAGCCACATACACCTGAGATGGCGGGTTCGAATCCAGCCTGGGCCTGCCAAACAACAATGACGGCTGCAACCAAAACATAGCTGGGTGTTGTGGTGGGTGCCTGTGTTCCCAGCTACTTGGGAGGCTGAGGCAGGAGACTCGCTTGAGCCCAGGAGTTTGAGGTTGCTGTGAGCTGTGATGCCATGGCACTCTACCCAGGGGGATAGCTTGAGGCTCTATCAAAAAAAAAAAATGAATATTTGACAGTAAGAGGGTTTTCTGGCTCAATAGGAACATCATCCTGGCGTGGTCATGTCCTCTTAGCCCTGCTGACAGCGACTCTTCCAGGCAATCCTATATAATTGCCCCATGGGTGGGTAGGTGGCCACATGCTTTGGGCATTTCTTCCTTTTTTATCTGCTGCAGGATGAACTCATCCTTTCTTCTTCTTGGTGTAGATTCACTCTGATGCACTCTTTTTTGGTTGTTATCTGACCATTTCCTTAATTCTAAGTATTGTCAGGGTTCTTCTGAGCCTGACTCAGAGGGGGCCTGTCCTCAAGGGTAAGCTGAATCACAGAATCAAGACAGACAAATAGATTTCAGGTAGATGGCCTGTGAATGATGAAATAGTTCCTAAGTGCTTACTGAGTGCCTTCTTTGGGCCCGCCATTGTCTTCTATGCTTTGAGGGGTAGAGATGAGGTGTCCCATCTAGACTCAGCTTTGAAGGAACTTCTGGATAAGGAGTGCACATATAAAAACAGTGTGAATCCATGCATTGTGTCAAGATGACTACTGCCGTGATCTGACACAAGTGTGAGCACTGTGGCCTGTTAGTCAGGCTGAGAGTTCTCAAGGAAGCAGAGTTTGAATGGAACCTTAGAGATGACAACAGTTGGAAAGCAGGGAGGAAGGTACTAAGCAGTGCTTTAGAAGCCAGCCACTAAGCTGTCTATTCCTTTTTTTGTTGTTGTTGAGACAGAGTCTCACTGTGTCGCCCTTGGTAGAGTGCTGTGGCGTCTCAGCTCACAACAACCTCCAACTCTTGGGCTTAAGAGATTCTCTTGCCTCAGCCTCCCAAGTAGCTGGGACTACAGGTGCCTGCCACAATGCCCGGCTGTTTTTTGTTGCAGTTGTCATTGTTGTTCTAGCTTGCCCAGGCTGGGTTCGAATTCTCCAGCCTCAGTGTATGTGGCTGGTGCTGTAACCACTGTGCTACGGTTGCCAAGCCCTTAAGCTGTCCATTCTTTAAAGGCCAGGCTCTGGTCTTGATCATCCTTGGACACTCTCCAGCACCAGGTTTTGTTCCTCATTGGTGTTTAGCAGGTGTAAGTTGAATAGGAGAAAACTTGTAGAGTACGGACAAAGGAACGGAATCTTCTTACTATCAGCCTTGTAAGCCCCTTAATGTCCAGGGTCCCTGCTTGCTCAATTCTAAAAAGGAAGGTTTGGCACTAGGTAACCAATCCCTAGGCTCTCTCTGTGTCTGAGATACCATGGATCCTGTAATTTTCTGATTCACCAAGGATAAGGGGACCTCTCTGGAAGTTTTGGTTAGCAGAGCAAACACAAATATAAAACGATGTTTGTGATTCAGAGAAGGGGATAAGTTTGTCCAAGAACATTCAATCAACTAGTGTTTAGTTATGTGTAAAAGTGCTGGGGGTTCCATGATGAACAGGGAGGACACACTTCTGTCCTTATATAGCTTAAATCAGCGGTTCTCAACCTGTGGGTCATGACCCCTTTGGGAGTCGAACAACCCTTTCACAGGGGTTGCCTAAGACCATCCTGCATATCAGATATTTATATGATGATTCATAAAAAATTACAGTTATGAAGTAGCAATGAAAATAATTTTATGGTTGGAGGTCACCACAATATGAGGAACTGTATTAAAGGGTCACAGCATTAGGAAGGTTTAGAACCACTGGCTTAAATTCTATTGCAGGAGAGACAATCTGTAATCAAGGAAATATGTGAGTCAAATAATTGTGAATGGTGATTTGTTACGAGAAATGATTGAGAGTTCCTGCCTGGGAATGGGAGAGGTGTGGTTGGGGGGGCAGAGGTGGGATTTGTGCAGAGCTCTGAATGCCAGGAAAAAGCCAGCCAGGCTAAGATCCAAGGGCAGAGAATCTTAGGAGTGGGACTGGCCACTCCCCTAGACATAGATGCTTGTGTCAGGGGCTTACAGCTGCAGGGCTAGGGCAGAGGAATAATCCTTGAAGTCTAGGCACTAAACTTTTTTCTCCCTTGGTTCACAGACAGCTGTTATCAGTTACGACTACCTCACCTCCCTGAGGAGTGTCCCTTATGGCTCAGAGGAATACTTGCAGTTGCGATCCAAGGTATGGGATGGATGGGACCCATCTCAGCCAGGCCAGGACTGGATGGGTCCTGAACGGCTGGTGGCTGGCCAGCAAGCTTCCTGCATGCAGCTGGAGGTGGGTGGAGGGCAGTGTGGGGGCATAGGCCTGGGCCATTGGCTGTCAGGGTTTTGGAAGGAGGGAGAGGAGGATTACCTCCTTCTTCTTGTTGAGGTGTTTTGGGTCTGGTAGATAGACTCCAGGTCCCGTGGTACTGAGGTTATTAATCTACATATGAGATGCTGTTGGGGAGGCCAGTGTGTGTTTCTGGGGAGTAAAAGTGTCTGGGATGACTCAGGAAGGATGTAGGCTCTGTCCCCAAGACAACTCAGCCACCTTCTAAACTGCTTTGTCAGGCAAAACCCAATTGAAGGAGGTTAATTGCTTTTCTGTTCTCTGAAGTCTACTCTGGGGCCTCTTGTTGGCCTCTGTGTGGCGCTGTCGGCCCCAAACTCTCTGTTCTTACTTGGAGTCGGGCAGTTGATGTTGATGCTACATTTAGATATCCCACAGAGTTGGAGGATCAAGCAGGGAGGGCATTTTTGTGTATGTAGGTTGAGTTCAAGGTCAAGGGCCGACATCTTTGGCTGCTCCAGAGAGAGATTAGTGATAGACTGGCAAGTCTTTGCTGAGGCAGTCCTCTCAGTAGGGGTGCCCTTTGCCTTTTAGAAAATTCCTAGTCATTCTCTTGGACTCATCTCAAACACCAGTTCTGTGATCCTTTCCTTCTCAGTCATCCTATGTGGATGGAATAATTAATTTTTAAATCTTTTTTTAAACTTTTTATTATGGCAGTTTCAGCCACCCACCAGGGTAGAGAGAATAGTGTAATGAACCTTGGTGGAGCTGTCATCCAGCTTTGGAAATTATCAACATTTTGCCCATCTTATTAGTCATCTACTCCTGCTTTTATTTATTATTCCTTCATTTGTTTTTTAATTTATTTATTTGTTATTTTTGCTGAAAGACCTAAATGCCAATCCTGGGCATCATATTATTTTCACTGTAAATACTCCAGTGTGTGTCTAGAATAGGTGAGGTTCTTTAAGGAGACATACCTACATTGTCATGATCATACTTAACAAAATTAACAATTCCTTAATAATCTCTAATAGCTAGTCCCTGTTCAAGGTTCCCTCATCACCAAAATGTCTTTTTATAGTTAGTTCAAATCTGGATCCAAACAAGGAACATATATTATGTTTTGGTGATGTTTCCTAAATCTTTTAAAATCTTTAACATTTTCTCTCCTTTTTTTTTTTTTTTTTTTGGAGTTACTTGCTCATTGAAGAAAACAGGTCATTTATTCTGTAGAATTTTCTAAATTCAGGAGTTGGCTGATTGCATCTTCAGAGTGTTATTTAATGGGAGATACATTCAAATGGTACACAATTCAAAATATATGATCTTTGAGACATACCAAATGACCCTCCTACCCGTGTTCCTCAGGTACCAAGTTTCCTGTCTGGAGGTGATCACTGCTTCTTGTGTATCCCTTCTAGAGATATCTTCCTATTTGAACTTAATTTCTTTTTTTTTTTGGAGACAGGGCCTCAAGCTGTCCCCCTGGGTAGAGTGCCGTGGCATTACAGCTCACAGCAACCTCCAACTCCTGGGCTCAAGCGAGTTTCCTGCCTCCACCTCCCAAGTAGCTGGGACTACAGGCGCCCGCCACAACGCCCGGCTATTTTTTGGTTGCAGCCATCATTGTTGTTTGGCGGGTCCGGGCTGGGGATTTGAACCCGCCACTCTAGGTGTACGTGGCTGGCGCCTTAGCCGGTTGAGCCACAGGCGCCGAGCCTGAACTTAATTTCTTTATCTTTATTCTTGCCACATAGTTGGTTACATGTATTACTCTCTTTTTAGACTATTTGTTCCTTTAGATCAGGGAGTACGGCTTTCATTTTTGGGTCTTTTACCTCTAGCAGTCATGCCTTGGGCTGAGTTAATTCAATATTTTGATGCCAGGCTTTACCTCCTGCCTCCTTGCCTTTTGAGAGGTCTGAGATAGAATGCAAGGTTTATAGTCAGAATGCCTGAGTCGATGCCTTGGCTTTGGGAAATTCATCTAGCCTTTTGCGGTTGCCATTTTTCTTGTTTGTAAACTAGAGATGGTTATACTGCTTTTTCTTTTTTTTCCCTTTTCCTTTTTTTATTTTGAGACAGAGTCTAACTCTGTTGTCCTAGGCTAGAGTGCCGTGGTGTCATAGCTCATAGCAACCTCAGTCTCTTGGGTTCAAGTCCTTCTTTTGCCTCAGCCTCCCAAGTAGCCGAGACTATTACTTTCCATGATGCCTGTCTAGTTTTAGTAGAGACAGTGTCTTACTCTTGCTCAGGCTGGTCTTGAATTCCTGAGCTCAAGCAATCCATCTGCCTCAAAGTGCTAGGATTGCAGGTGTGAGGCACTATGCCCAGCGATTTATACTATTTATTGAGGATTTTTTTTTTTTTGAGCCAGAATTTTACTCTGTCAGCCTGGGTAATTTTGCTCTGTCACTCTGTCACCAGAGTGCTGTGGTGTTGTCATAGCTCTCAGCAACCTCAAACTCATGGACTTAAGCAATCCTCGTCCCTCAGCCTCCCAAGTAGCTGGAACCACTATGCCGGGCTAGTTTTTCTATTTTTAATAGAGATGGTGTCTTGCTCTTGCTCAGGCTGGTCTCAAACTCCTGTGTTCAAGCAGTACACCTGCTAGAGTGCTGGGATTACAGGTGTCAGCCACCACACCCAGCCCTTATTGAGGATTTTATAGGTGATATCTGAGTTATTGTGAAATAATAAGGCAGGTATCAAAACTAAGATGTGTCCTGTAAGTTATGCTCCATGAGGAGAGACTTGGTCTGTGCTATGTATATATATATCCGTGTCTGCAGGTCTTATACAGACACATACCATTAACCAGGACACAGTAGATCCTGAATAAAGGTTAGTTGGATGAATGAATGAATGAGATGTTAGTTTTTATGGAGAATTTCAAAGCCTCTGCCTCTGAGGCTTATGCTCCCCTGATTTTCCCTGTCACCTTCTCCATCTGACCACTGCTATGGACCTTGAAACCCCTTCCCAGAGTGACATTTTGAGGTGGGCTCCAGGTCAGGACATAGGGGCAAAGCCTCTGCCTTGGGTAGTCTGCAGAGCAGATGGGTGATCAGTGTGTGAAGTCACTTGCCCATCACGTGTAAGTCATCTGAAAGGCAGTGGTGCTGCAGCTCCTGGAGAAGCTGACAGCTTTGGGGGATGCAGAAAGGAAAGTGCAGCCTGGCATTTGACAAGAGGGCATCACGTGGTGGCTGGCACCAGATAACAGTGTAGACCGGTCTCTAGAGTTGTGTGGGAAGAGGGAGCTGGCTGGCACTAAAGAGCACGAGTAAATACTGCAGGAGTGTTTTCTTCCATCTGAACGCTTATCCCTTCTCGTCAGCAGGCCTGATAAAGGAGTGAGCTAAGGGTAAAACATAATTATCTCACCTGTCAAGCCAGCATCTCAAGGTCCCAGAGTATGTCAGAGCCAGGAAACTAGCTTGGCAGGCAGTGATGACTTTGAGCAGCACTTCCAAGGTTGGCACTGGCAGGCTGGGATCTCAGTGACTCAGCTCTGCATCCAGAGGGCTGGGAGCCAGCGTGCAGAGGTGTGCTCTAGAGGCACCTAGTCCTTTGCTAGGCAACCAAGGGGCTAGGGAGGGGCTAAGGTGCTCTGGAGAACTAGATCTTTGGTTCCTAGGATGATTATAAACTGAGAAGTATGTGAGCTGACCTAAGGAAATCATCGCAGGTGTAGACGTCCAAGCAATGGGCCAGAGGAGGCAGATGGACTTAATTCTAAGGGGTTGGGATATAGGGATACTTGTTAATTTTGAGGTTCAGGAGCCATTCTCATTTTGGAAAATAGCATCCAGACTTTCCTTTGAGGAGCTGCCCTATCTCAGATACTCTCTATGAGTTTTGGGTAGGGCTCCCTCCACCCTTATTAGCCAGGTAATCAGTGGAGTCCCTTCTGCTGGTCCTAGAGATGATTCAAGGATGAGGACTTGAGTCAGTTCTGGCCAGTGAACTTCACCTCCAGGACTTTTGGGGGGAATAGTGGCACTCTTTCCTATAGGGTTAGCTGAGAGTGTAGGATGTTGGCTTAAAGCTTTTAGCAGCTATCTTGCTAGCACGAGGGGAAAACCATCTATGAATGGAGCTAGTATTGCAAAGAGATATGTTATTTGAGTCCCTAGATCTAGCTGAGCCTGAAGCTAGACTATCACTGGGATTTTCAGTTATGTCTGCCAGAAAATTCCCTTTTTGTTTAAGGTAGTTTGAGTTAACTTTACTGTTACTTGCATCCAGTGAGTCTTTTGGTATACTGGGGATTCTTAGAGAAGCAAAAGTGGCATTTACAGAGGTCACAGAAACACCCCTAACTCAAGGGGAGAAATGAAATTCAGGATTCTAGTGCTTAATGAGGGTGAGGAGAGGATTGGATGGAGCTGGGTGGAATTTGAGCCATTTTGAACCTAGCTCCAGGTCCCCAGGCTCCCAGTGTACTGTCAGGCACCTCTGCTTTCCTAATTGCAGCATGGTGGCAGTGGGTTCTCCCACTGCTCAGTTTGTAGGAATGGAGAGGAAAAACTTAGCTTAATAGGCATTGTGGGCCTGGTGTGGTGTCTCAGTCCTGTAATCCTAGCGCTCTGGGAAGCTGAGGTGGGAAGATTGCTTGAAATCTGGAGCTTGAGGCCAGTCTGAACAAGAGTGAGACCCAGTCTCTACAAAAAATAGAAAAATTAACCTGAAGCAGTGGCAAACACGGGTAGTCCCAGCTACTCGGGAGGCTTGAGGCAGAAGGATCGCTAGAGCCTAGAAGTCTAGGGTTGCTGTGAGCTATGGTGATGCCACTGCACTCTAGCTGGGGTGACAGATTGAGACTCTGTCTAAAAAAAAAAAATTAGACATTGTAGGTTATTTAAACCAGCCAGAGAGAAGTTCCAGGGTGTACGGTC